ACTTAGCAGGTCACTCTTTGAATGCCCCCACCCATGCAATGTAATGCTCATATCTTTAATATTATCAGATGCAAAGTAACACTCAGATATTTATTATTAATATATCTATGAGCTACCCAAATTAGAAATTTACAGATAAGCTTTATAGTTATTTCAGGTGTTGTTGAAACAGCTGATGCTTCAGGCTCTTATTCCCAGTTCATGATGACCAAGATTCTCTCTATGTGATTATGAGCATCTTGAAAGCTAGGATGAGGTCTATCCTATTTCACTTGAGACAGGTAACTAGTTCAGTGGCATGCAAATTAGGATTTACTGACTATGTGATACAGGTATAGGTTCTCATTCAGTTCTCTGTGGTGTTTCATAATGCTTACTTGAGAAGTATTCTAGAGAGACTTTTACTGACTTTAAACCTTGAATACTAATTTTTGCTTCTCATCCACCTTCTTAAATTCCAAAGATACTCTAACCACATTTAAATTGAACCTTAAACCAAGAAAATATCAAATCCATGTTTGATGAAAGAGAAAGAGGAGCTGAATTCATCACTTTCTGATAGAGGAGTATGAGTGTAAAGAAAATAAATAGAAAATATTTCTATCGATACAGGGAGTTTGCTTGAAATAAAACATGGAACCAAGTTAACCCTGTCAGATAGGTATACATAATCAAAAATCCCATTAACATCACAGTTAAGTGGTAAGCACTTTATGATACTATTTTACCCTCATAACAAATTCATAATATTGGTAATTATTTTTTCCATTTTCCAAATGAGAAAACTGAGGCAAAATGAGCACAAATAAACAAATCCAAGATTCAAACTGTAGCAGTTTTGTTCTAGGAGTGTGTTTTTTACCCAATATTCTATATTATCTTTCTGATAGAAAAGGAAAATCACAGACTATTCTTTATGCTATTTAAAAATTATATTTGTATGAGAATTTAGGTTATAAAATGCAAGTTTTCAAATGGATGTAAATACGTATGTGTGTGTATATGTACATGTTTGTATATATATTTATTCACTTTGCCCATTTATTTATTCATTTGTCAAATAATTCCAATAGTCATCCTTGCATTAGTCATTGTATGGTACTCTGGAACTACAAAGATAGAACTACATGCTTTCTATTCTATAGAAATGGAAGAAATGTGTAGTATTGTCCACCATTATTGATAAATACTGGGAATATATAATTGTAAAGACAACATTTTTCTTAAGGCAACAAGAGCAGAGTACACTCTCCTGTTCAGGTTAAAATTGAAAATAATGACAGTGTCAGGGAAACTGGGAAAATGTAATTGTTCTAGAAGAGCATTTTCTAAATGAGTTCAGTTTCTGAGATAAAATATAAAAGTGGCCAGCTTTATCTGACCTTGTGGATTATATGAACACTTTCTTTTCTGGAATCAGTGGACCTGGGCAGTCTTCCTCAGAAACATTATTTCCCTCTAAACTGGGGCTTTCATGCAGAAATTCAGGGTTATATGGATGAGGAAACAGCCTCCACAGTACTGAAGAAATATAAAATGCTATGACTTACCAGCTCCAACCTTCTTAGCCCAAATCCACAAAGTTGTCTGGGCTTGCTTCTACATGAATGTTCCATCAATGGATTGCTGCTTACATTTCACCAAAATTATTAATGGGGAAAAGATGGGGGACATAAAGTGCTTTTTGTTCCCTGGTTTTTACTAAAAAGATGACCGCAGATGCAGACAGAGTGTTGATGGATGAGGTCACATAGTATGAAGTAGTCAGATTAAGATGGATTGAGTTGTTTGAGTGCCTCCTCTCATCAGACTTTCAGCTAAACTCTCTCTGTGTGTTCTTAGAGTTATGGCGTTCTACTGACTCATATTTATTTGCATTCTCTCTGTTGCAAATTGTATTGAACAGCATTGGATGCATTCCTGAAACACCTCAGAGAAGAGTGGAGGGCACGGTTCACCTGAAGAACTACTTTTATCATCTTAGCACAGTGGTAGGTTGTTCCACAGCATAGGCTAGACTGGGGATGTAGCTAACTGGTAGAGCACTTGCCTACTATGTATTATGCCCTGTGCTCAATCCTTAAGGACTATAAACAATAAATAAATAAATAGAATGCAGACTAGATTATCAAACAGATCTGAGTTTAAATTGTACTCATATACATCAATTTAAAAAATAATTCTTATTGGTACATTATATTTATACATAATACTAGGATTCATTGTGACATATTCATATATGCACACAATATAATTTGCTCAGTGATAATCCCCAATATTCCTCTTTCTCTCTCCTCCTTTCTCTGGCAATGCCTCATCCACTGTATTCTACTGATCTCCCTTCCATTAATTTTTAAAATTAATGCATTTTAATTATACATAAAAATGGGATTCATTGTGATACATTCATATATGCATAGAGCACGTATGAATTAATTTAATTTATTGATCTATTTAATTTTCCAGTGCTACCCCTTTTCCTTCCTTCTTCTCTATCCATGGCTCCCCTTCCTCTACTGTTCTCCCTTAAGTTTCTTCATCTGGGAAATGTTGTTAATGCAGTCCCTGTATCAAAGAATTCTTGAGGACAATAGAATAAAATAAGTATTAGAAGTTACCTATTGGAGAATCAGACACCTATTTAGACACACAAATATAAAAATGCATGTGGATATTTCACTTCTATATTAATGCATTGGATACATAGCTAATGGGGCACAGAAAGACAGCCTGGATTTTCTGATGTTTGCATTTGCACATATGTACTGCATACTCTTGTAGCTTCATTTCTCCATTCACTGCATTGCAATTGAACAACAACCCCTTTTTTGTCAGGGCAGAAATTTATTCTTTGGCATGGAAACCATTCTTAATGAGGGTATTTAGTCTTGTATTTAGCATACTAAACCAATACTAGATCCTAAGGTAGAAATTCAGAAAAACATTATCAATAAATTAGAAGGAATAAAATAAGAATGATTTTTAAAAATTTAAATTGGGGGCTGGGGCCATGGCTCAGTGGTAGAGCACTCACCTAGCATGCCTGAGGCACTGGGTTAGATCCTCAGCACCATATAATAATAATAAAAAAATTAAATTGGAACTTTTTATTATGGTGGGGGGGGGGTAGACAAGAAGCCAAATTTTGACAGATTTTCAAAAACTTCAAAAGTCAAAATTACTTCCATTTGAGGCAAGAGAAGAAATGGAATAAGGAAATGGAGGAAAGATACTTTTTTAATATAATTATACTTTTTAATATAAAAATTTTATTGTAGAATAAAATAATAATGGATCAAAAGTGGTGATTTTAGTACTTTAAAAACTGGAAGCATTATAGACTTATTTTAGTACAGTATTATTGTATGCTGTGAAATGACTAGACTGAGATATGGCCCTTGAAATATGAAGGAAAGGGTAAACAAATGAAAATAATAAGGAAACAATGAGGGAAGTTATTATGTTTTAGGAGATAAAACTATACTAGAATCTTTAAAATGACTTTCTAAAATTATTTTTATCTCACTTACAAATTATTATTTTCTACAAATCAGTTTTCCAAAAATGTAAAGTTAAAATTTATCTTTGGCTAAATTACCATGAAAATGAAATGTATTATGTTTCCTATTTCACTATTTTTCTATTATGAAATTATTTTCTTAATTCATATTAACTTCCTTGTTAACACAAATTTAATTAGATTCATATGTTCATTTATTGGAGATCATCTGAATGCAGTTTCCTAAATAGCTTATATTTAAACCCAAAATTCTGAACTGCATAGCATAATATATAAATTGAAATTATTATCTTTAGCAGAAATGTACTTTTATGGGGATGTAATTTTCTCATACCAAGATTTATTTTTTTAATATTATTAATAAAAAATTGGGTTTCCTCTAAATTTAAAACAACTAATTTAATTATCTTCAAAGGAGAAAATGATGGTGACATTCCTAATTGAGAAACAGTTGAAGAATTAATATTTTGGGTGTCATTAGAAAAATTTTACTTGTGTTTTTGAATGAGAACAGATTTCTAATGCATTATTTACGCAGTAGAGTGTAACCACTCCTTCTGTGTTCTCTGGGCCTTTTTTGTCAATGCTCAGAGAGCTCATTTTTCAAAATACATACTATTTTCCCCAATAAATCAAGCAAGCTCTGTGGGAGCACATTACAGCTTTTCATGTATAAACAGTACAGGAAAACAATATTTAAAACTTATCAAGTGTAACTGATAAACTCTCTTCACTGTTGTACATTTATAATTATCTAGTTATGGTTGTTTTCTGAGCCATTTTTTGGCTTATGCAAACACAGTAGATTGTTTCAAATCACCCTATTTATTATTAGAGTGTCTTGTCTCCTTAGATATACTTTTTTAATGTGAAAAGTGTGTGTTAGATTTAGGAAAAAACAAAAGAACTTAGAAAGTGATAAAGATTTCTGTGATAAAGTACATGATATAAATTTTACATGGAAAAATGAGATTCTATAATTTGAAACCTACCTCCATTTTTTTTCCTCAAATTTAAAAACCATTGTCTCTTGATTTGATCTGGCCAGCATGAAGCTCTTGAATAAGTAACTAGACAGGAAGTCTGAAGATTGATTCTAGAAATCCAGCCAGAACTCCCCAGTTGATCTGAGCTTGTTCTATCTCTTAGACATAATCTAATTCTCTATCCATCAATCTTGAGGTGGATAGAGGAGTGATGGGAACCATGCTGTATGCTTCTCATTCTGGCCAGCCTAATTTAGGGCTTTGAGTTTACACTTACTACTGAATGACTATAAGGAAGGAGGGGCTTATAAACTGGTGTTAGCTGAAGACAAATACCTCATAAGGATATAAACAATAGTTTGTGTAATTTTAGAGCTTCAATTTCTATAATAAAAACTAGCATACCTGTTTTCAGGGCATATGCAGTAAATAATATTTACCTTAGGTATTTTGGTGTGAATAATACATTATATAGTAGTATATATCTTTTCTAAAAAAATATGGAACACTTCACCAATTTGCATGTTATCCTTGCATAGGTGCCATGCTAATCTTCTCTGTATTGTTTCAATTTTAGTATATGTGCTGTTGAAGTGAGCAGAGCATATATCTTTTTAAAAGAGAGAGAGAGAGAGAGAATTTTTTAATATTTATTTTTTAGTTTACGGTGAACACAACTTTATTTTTTTTATTATTATTTTTTTTAATGTGGTGCTGAGGATCGAACCCAGCACCCTGTGCATGCCAGGAGAGCGCGCTACCGCTTGAGCCACATCCCCAGCCCCAGTATATATCTTTTTAATAAAAAATACACAACCAAGTTAATAACTCAGAACCTCATCAGTACAAGTGCTAGATTAACTTTTTTTGTTTTCTATTCACACTTCTGATGAGACCCTTTGTTTATAGTTAGAAGTTTCATGTTGTCACAGGATGGTGGTTACTATGATAAACTCCCAGGTTTTAAATGAAGACAATGAACATGGATTACTGGAGCTTGACTCAGTTACTTGGCCTAATTCCTCAGTACCAACTTAAAACCAAATTAAAAGATTAGAAACCTCAGAATTAGTAAACAATTCATGGTTTACTAATTGGAAGAGAAACCTTCTTCTGTCCTAAGATTTTCTCTGTAGCATTTAAATAAATATTCACATAAAGTATATCATTTACTGCCAGTGAATCAAGTGTATAGTCAGAATTATCCCTATCTAGTCAGGGATAATTCATCTCTATCATATTTAGACAAAAATATGCAGGAGAATGTAAAATCTTTTCTAGACATGCAGATACTTTCTGGGAAAGTTTGTCAATCCAGTCTTTAAAATCTCCCTTTATTTTATTTAATTAGAATCCTATGTATGTTGGGTTATAATAGGATTTTAACCACCTAATCTTAAAGGTCTTAATGGTTAAAGTATAATATGTGAATGGATATAAGACAATAATGATGAAAAGTTTATACAAAACACTCTAAATTAAAAGATAGAAAAGAAGAATACAGGAAAATAATTTCTCCTCTGGAAAAACTAAAATTTATGTTTTTGGAAATTCTTAGAAATGAGATGTTCAAATATGAGGTATTAATCCAGGAAATATTAACCAGAAAATATGGGCACTAGTTATCTAAAGTTGGTTTCATCATATTTCTGAGCATGTGGTATTAGCCTCACTGTGGTGATGAAGATAACCTAATGTCATTAGAGAAGAAGAGAATTTTATGGTATTACACTTTAGAGATTTTTAAATAGTGAAAATTATTTCATAGCTGAATTCTGGTTAAATCAATGGTTATTTGCTAGGCTTATGTCACCCAAAGAATCAGTGTCAAAGTCAGAAGTATCACTGGTCTAGCTGACTTCTTGTTAGAATTTTAAAATTCTTTAGTCAAGCTTCAATGAATGAAAAAGTGAAGGTGAATTCAGTGTTTTGCACATTATTGTCCTCTCCAAAATTCATGTTACAATTTCGCCTCCAAAACAATGGTATAAAGAGGAGTTTTGATAGTTGATTAAGGCAAGAGAGCTATGGCTCCATGTCCACAAATTGAATTAGGTGCTCTTCTAAAAGGTTAGGACAGAAGGACATTGGTCTTTTTGCCCCTTCCCTCTCTTCCATGTGAGGATACACCATCTTGGCACTTCCAAGGAAGCAGAATTCAAGGTACAATTCTGGAAGCAGAGCCTGAATTATAACCAGACAACTAATCTGCTGGCACATTGTTCTTGAATGTTCCTCAATGCAAAACTGTGAAAAATAAGTTTCTGTTATTTTTAAGTTACCCAGCTTCAGGAATTTTGCTATAGCAATACAAAGCAAACTAAAACAGTGAAAAATGACTATGGTTTCCTAAACAGTTGTAAATTCATGAAATTTAGTTTAAAAAAAATTTTACGTTTTAGTCAATAGGATATTTTTCTCAAATACTGAACATTTTTTCATAATTCTATTAAAGCAATGAATTAATGACATATATTATAAAGTAAAGTTTAAGAATATGCATTCTGGAGCCAGATGGTTTTTGTTCAAATCTTGGTACTGCTAATTAAGAGTAGTGTCACTTCACAAAAATTACTTATCCCCACTGTGTTTTACTTTTCTCTTCTGTAAAATGTTATTTGTATTTAAAAATACTGAAATAATTTATATTTTATAACAACTAGACAAATTAAATATCAAATATAAAATATAAAATTATAAAATAAATTATCAAATTATAAAACCTGGAACTTATTAAGATTATAAACATGTTTAAAACAGATTTTAAAGGAGATGTACATTTCTGTCATCTCTGCTTTCTTTTCTTCCTCTCTATTTAAATGGGTTGTTTGTTTAAAAGGAAAAAACAGTATTTTAATTGGATCAGATAAACATGTCATTAACTATATTAAGAAACGTAGATTTAAACTATCAATAATTCTAATTTCCATTTATGTTCCTACAGAAGTTTCAAGATATTGGTATTGAATTCATAGCAATTTAAATTGAAAATTTAAATTGAAAAATCTTACTGTATGTAAATTTTTACATTCTTATTAGTAGGCTAAGAGATTAATAACAGAGATAAAAAATTAAATCAAAATTGTTATGAGGAAAGAGATAAAGACACTTGATCTAAACTTTTTTGAGTCAATACGTTGTTATTTAAGAAAATTCTTGATGAAAATAACAAAGAATTGTTTTTTAATTAAGAAAATATTCTTTTTTTAATATTTATTTTTTAGTTTTTAGGTGGACACAATAACTTTATTTTATTTTTATGTGGTGTTGAGGATCGAACCCAGGGCCCTGTGCATGCCAGGCGATCGTGCTAACACTTGAGCCACATCCCCAGCCCCAAGAAAATATTCTTTATACATATCATGAGAGTTGGTATCTAAAATTAATTTAACTTATTAATTACTACTAATAAATAAAACAGCATATTTTTGTTGTTTCTTTAGGGCCATTAAATTCTAATTCTTTATCTAGTTAATTTATTCTTTATCTAATTAATCTTCTGACAGGTATAAATCACTTATTACTTTTATCAAAGATTAAGAAGTGACATCAAAACTGCAGTTTTATAAAACATAATAAGGCATATATATAAAATGCACCTATTATAACATTTTAGTTTCCTGTTTATCAACAGTAATTAAAATATTTGAATTCATTTGCCAGAAAATACCTGATCTGTAATCAAGATCACAGCTTTTTTTTCTTTGCAATCTCAACAGTCCAATGACTGTTCTGTCATCACAGAAAGAAAAAAAACATACAATTCGCAGAGAAAAACGGACAATTCTATCAGAAGCTCATCAGATGAGAATGATCATCATTAAATTTTGAATTACTAATGGAGAGAAGCAATCAAATCCAATCTATGGCTTTAAAATCTACTTTAGGAAATAATATTTTTTTCAATAATTAATATTTTGAACGCTTACATGTTATATGATAAAAGACTTGCAGGTTTTGACCACTATCATCAAAGATATAACTGGGAAGATATTATTCCTACATATACAGTCATATTGAGTGCTCTGAACTGCAAATGTTCTATTTTATTGTTATTTTACTTGTCAAATTTTGCAAAGATAGAAATTAAGCATTTTTTCTTACTTTTGAGTAAATGGCTTACATTATTGTTAAGGTAACTTTAGATAATTTCTTTATTTGGGTCTTAGATTCCAAATCCTTAGGCTACATGTGCCTTATTTTCAAATGTTAATAATAATAATAATAATAACAATGATAATTTTAGTAAAATTATTATTTCATAATAAAAATATTATCATTCTAATAAAATTATATTATCTTTCACAAAGTAGATTGGTACATTAATACATTAACTAGTAAAGTATTATATGATTAGTCATGGGTAAATTTGTTCCCTAATCTCATGGAGGATTAATTTGGTGATTTTAAAAAAAAAGTAAAAATACATAGCAAGTACTTTTATAAATATAATTATATATAAATAGTATGATATTTTTAAATGTCATAAGAAAAGATTATCTTGCTGGGGTTGTGTAAGTTAGAGTACTGGGCATGCATGTGTTGAAACACTGACTTAAGCAAGAACTAGAGGGTAACGCTGAACTAGTCACACAAATAAGGGAAATATATATCATAAGTCTATTTAAGAGCAATATAAATTTAATACATCGACTCAAATGTATTCTGTTATTTATAATATTGATAAGGCTGATAACCTGTAATATAAACATTGATAACTCAGTAAACAAAACCGTTATTATTAAAACCAATATTAAAATAGTCCCTGTTAAATATTTAGTTAAATTATGTTAACTTGAATTTTTACATTAGTTCCTATAAGAATTCTTAAGAAAGTACTGAAAGTTAAGTCCTTAACTATAGGAATTGTAGGAATATTGAATTTATATGTTTTTATTAAATTCTGTACAATCAGAATAGAGCTTCATAAAGGGATCTTAAAATCTAACTTGCCAATTCCAGGTAGAGGTGAAGAGAATCAGACATAGACAGGAAAAGAAAAGAAAGAAAGAAACAGACAAAATTGGATATTACTTGTTTTCATTTTAAAATTTCAACACTAAAGTTCACTTAAAAGAGATGTCTTTTGCCCTTGACTCAACTTTATATTTAAAACAAATTGTTTACATGTATTAATTGTGTATATTAGTGGATTTCATGGTTATACTTCCACACATGGATAGAGTATGCAATGATAAAACCCAACCTGCTTTTTTCTACCTTTACAATCTATAGTAATCACTATTAAACACCCAGGGCTAAATTTTTAAGCTTCCACACATGAGAAAGAACATGTGATACTTGTCTTTCTGTGCCTGGCTTATTTTATTTAATGTAATGTCTCCTGTTAAATTCATTTTGCTAAAAAATGGCAGGATTTTTATTTTCTTTGTGGTTGAATAGTACCACATTTTTCTCCAGCCATTCATTTGTTGATGGACAACTAGGCTGATTCTACATCTTAGCTATTGTGAATGGTGCCACAATAAATATGAGCATCCATGTACCCTTTGGTATGTTAATTTAATTTACTTTGGCTATAAACCCAGAAGTGGAATAGCTGGATCATATAATACAGCTATACTACTTTTGTTTATTTTT